ATATATATATATTCTCTCTCTCTCTCTCTCTCTCTCTCTCTCCTTGTTTTCCTTCTCATTCTCTATAATCCATCCTCTCATCTCTCTTCTTCTTCCTCGTAGACAATAAATGACGGACGACAAATGACGATGATAGAGAAGGAATAATTTACGTATTTTTTGAATTAGAGATATTAGGATCTCTATTTAAAAAAAATAAAGGTACCCTCAATCACTCCTTTTGTTTTTCAAACCCATTTTATTGAACTAATTAATTTAAAATATGATAATACTTTTCATAATAATATTCAAATGGTTTTTATCTCAATGTTGAGGTAAATTCATCTTAAATTGAGTAAAATAAATGAAAACCATAAGTTAACTCTTTTAAAAGACTGAAATAAATAAAATATGCTTATTTTAATGATTTAAAAATAGAAAAATTATAATTTGGCCATTTATAAGTTGTTTAAAATGTTTCTTAAAAAATTGAGAAATTTTTTAAGAAAAAGTAAGACGTGAGTTATGTTATTTTTGAATGATATTATATATATTTTTTAATATGGCCAAGAAATACTTAATCATCTTAAAAAATAGTGTAACTCATGTCTTCAAAAATATTTTTATATTCTTAAAATCTTAAAAAACTTATATAATAATATTCGAGTTTTTTTTTACCAAAGTTATTATAAATTCACCTTAAATTGGGTAAACAAAAAAGCTACAATTTTTCACTTTTAAAGAGCTGAAATAAATAAAATATACTTATTTGAATGCCTTAAAAATATAAAAAAATGGTTATTTAAACATATAAGTTATTTACAAGGTTTCCTAAAGATTAATTTTTTTAAAATGGTGGGATATGAGTTTTACTGTTTTCGATAATGGGGTTATCTTTTTCCCACAAAGCGTCGTTTCATTAAAAAAAAAAAAAGAAAGAAGTTTAGCTCATATATTCGAAATTTTTATGAAACATTGAAAATATCTAATGAAACCCTAATTGATAATTTTTTCTTCTTCTATGTTTAGCTATTAAAAGATCTAATTTCAATTAATTCAGCTCTTAAAAGTATATAATTTTTATTTTTTTTATTTTTATTTTTATCAATTTAAGCTGATATTATAAATTTTGAGTTCACTCAATAAAATAAATTTCAAAAAGACAAAGGAGTAATCGATACCTTTTGTCCTTTTCTGAAACTGAGGACTTTGCAGAGAAAAAGATGAAAACATGTTCTGAAAAAAAATGAAATTAGGGGATTTTTCAAGGAAATTTATCCTATAAGTAAAACAATTTAAACCCGAAAAAGTACGGGTCTTATTTGGATCCGGGTTTCGGGTTCTCAGGCCTATCGACACCCGCGTTCGCAAGCAGTCTCCATTTCGCCCTGTTAAATCTTGGAGCTTCGCAAGCAGTCTCCCAAATCGGCATAATCCCCTCCGCAACCATTAATCTTAGTTCATCGTTCGGTCACATCTCTTGCCTGTGGCAACTACGACGGCGACGACGTGAAGAAGGCCGACGGGCGGGCGGGTGGATCTGGTGCGTGCCATTCCCACCACCATCGTCTCCCTGGAGTTCGTCGTCGAGGGACAGAAGAAGCGTAATCAGGTAGGTACTCATGATCTCTTCATCGCATCCTGCTTTGATTTCTGCATATCCTCGTTGTTTGATTTGGTGGTGGGGTGGCGTATTAGGGTTTCTGCTCCCCGTTCCTGATCACACGAGCACGCTCCCCCGTTTGGATTTGGGGGTTTCTGCCCCTTTAAACCCGTTTGAATCGCAGAACCCGAATCCGCTCTTCGAGTCTGGGTTCGAACCGTGTCCCTCAACCGGTCCGGTCGAACCACCTGCGAGCTCCTCTTACATCTTCTCTCCCATGGCATCTTTCGCGACGTCCCTCCCCTCTTTCGAGTTCGATCGCGAAACCCTAAGCCTCGATCCGAAGAACCCTTTTTTCCTTCTCTCTCTTCCTTTCTCTCCGAAAATTCCTTCGGGCACTGCCAAATTCTAACATCAATCTTACACCCTAGTGGCGGCTTCTTGCCTTTCTTCCAACTCCAAGCCCTAACCCTAGCACTAGCCCTAATCCCCCTTATTCGCTCTTAATTCCCTCTTCTCGATACTTGTCTGACCTTTCTGATTTGTTGTGAACACTGCTCGACGCCAGATAACGCTGTTTTCCTCCCTCCCACCTCCTACGAGGAAGGCCTTCGTCTGAACTACTGGATGGGGGTCTCTCATTCGATCTAATTGTTGAGTTTCGGTGGACTGCACGATTGGAGATCTTCAATTGGCCTGCAAAGGTCCTCCTTTTTGGCTCTGCTGTGATTTACGGGTGCAAAGATCTTGTTTTGAACTCTTAATCTCTGAAATTTATACCTCAGAATTGGGTCAATAGTGATTAAAAATCTGTTTGATGGACTCGAATGCTCCTGATTCGCTTTGTTCATGTGCTGTTAGTTGTTAGGATTGGATCTATGCAACTGCACTTGTTATCTAGTGCTAGTTGCTTTTGGAAGTGACAATGCAGGTTGTGTACTGAATGTTTTATTGTTTGTAATCGAAAAGGGTTTGTGCATGTTGTCAGGTAGCAAATTTGGTTCATGATGCAATGCATGGGGATGCTTGTTATCATTTTGCTCCTGACATTGGTCAATGGTTGTCTATCATCCTACAGTTGACGATGAGTTTTTAGTAAAAAGCAATTATTTTGATGAGGAACATTTGTGCTGTTCTCTAGGTAGCCGATGCGGATTTGTTGTTAGTTGTAGTGATTCTTAGCAATGAAAGTTTGATGTGTTAAGAAGCAATAATGATGATTAGCGCCATGCTTAATGATACTCTGAAAAAGAATTTTAATGAAATATGTGTTATGGCATTTTCAATCATGTCAGACACTAGGTAGTTGGTTTTGTATGGAAAGTCATGTGAAGATTTTGAGTAATTTTAATGTTCGAAAAGTTTTGTTCTGAAACTGGGAATATCAATTTCTATGGAGTATATATGATTAGAACTCATTTTTTGAAGTCAGTTAAGATCTTGAAATTTCCTGCCTCAATTTGTAATCATTGTGTGGCACAGAATTTACTGTTTATGCTTACTTACGCCAGGCATCTCTTATGCCAATTTTATAATATAAGAGTTACTCTATGTTGTGGCCCGATCTTCCTCATCGTTAGGTCTCATCTTACTCTTGACTTGGGAAGTCCTCTTTCATTTCATAAAGTCCTCCGTCTTTTAGCCCTAATGGTGATGGTGAATTTGCAACCTAGGGCATCGTTCAAGTCATGGAAACAACCTCTTTATATTTAGAGATAAGGATATGTACATTGAGCCTACCTAGATCCCACATAGGTGAGAGTCTCTTGCACTGCATATGCTGTACTAAAATGGATTGTGTTCTAGGACACCGTTCATGCATTGCATACACCCTTTTGGTGATGGTGGATTTCATATGCTAAAATGGACTTAACTTGCTACCAAACATAAGCATTTATGGTTACCAACTGGATATCCTCCGAGAACAATCTTGCATGGTAGGTATGAGGTAGCTTGAGCGAAGCATCATATAAATATTTAGCCATTCTTCATAAATGGGAAAAGGGTCAGCCTGTTTTAGCTCAAGTCCTTTGTGAACTTGACAAAAGTACTCGAGTGATGCTGGTGGGAACTATGCTAGTGACAAAACTTCTTTCTTGAAGTCTTGGGGCCTCCTTTCCAGATTGTTCCTTTTATTTTCTAACACATTCTAATGCTATTCCTTGGAAACATGATTGTTGGTGGACTACTGTCCAGATTAACTGGTCAACAAAGTGTGAGAAGTTAACTCTTTTCCAGTAAGAATTTTAAAAGGGCTCTCGTTTGATGTAGAGCTTTGTTATATTGAAATTTGGCTACATCCATACGTTTCACCAACTTATGAGGTAGCTATTCCATGCCTCAGTTTGCTAGTCTCTTGTGTCATTTGTGATAGATAAATCTGTAGCTACATAAGTTTTCCACTACATTTGTTCCTTTTCTTTTTCTTCAAATGGGGCCTATGGATGCAACTACTAAACAAGATGAGTCAATTAGGGTTGGCGAATAGAGGAAGGCCTAAAACAATTCATTAGAAAAGATACTTGATTTCTCTAAGGTTGACCAGTAATATTGCTCTTGCTCCGGCTCAAATGGCAGGAAAAGATCCATGTAGTGGATCCCAAAGTTATAAATTGAAACCATACTGATGGTTGTTGTCGACCTTTTTCTTATGCACCATAATAGGAAAATTGAGCCCCAATTACTTTATATAGTTTAATTTAGCATTTTTGCATTTTTTTAACCATCTCATGCAAGAATAAGCATAAGTAACAGGAAATGTCACATTTTCTCTCTCCTGTTGCTGATTAGTTGAAATATCATGTAGGAATAAGTGTACGTAACACAAAATGTTGCATTTTCTCTCTCCTGTTGTTGATTAGTTAAAATATCATGTAGGAATACACATAGGTAACACAAAATGTCACATTTTCTCGCTCCTACTTATTATTATTCAAAATACATTTGGAAAACAACCACATTTTTTATTCATTTTTTTTATATAACAATGTCTCTTCTGATAGTGAGATTGTAGTAATTCTAAACTTGTGGTTTTAGTGGTGCATCAAATTTTATTTTCACAAGCACATAGTTGTATTCATTTTCTATAACGTGTCCATTGCTTTCATATGTGCTACTTGGTCAATTTATTCCTTTAAGCCAGGGTTTTTAATTTTGAATGATATCACCCGTACCGAGCGGTATGTACGGGTCCGCCAACAGATCGGTACGTAAGCCGCCCGCTACCGAGCGGTACCGTTGATCGGGGCTATTTTTGTCCCTTTACCACCCGAAATCGGTCGGTGACGGTCGATCGTTGTTGCTTGCTACCGGGCGGTATTAGCCAAAGGAAAAGGAAGAAGAGGGAGAAGAAAAGGGAGAACCTGGAGATTCGACGCCTCTTTCCCTCGACGATCTCGATTCGTCGCCGCCCTCCCTTGCTGGACGTCGCAGATGAGATGCCGCCTCCTCCTCGTCTAAGGCGACGAGGCCTTGGTGTTGTCGACGACTTCTCCTAATCTGCGCGGGGAGAAGAAGCCTCGGCGTGGGGAGAAGAAACCTTGGCGACGTTGCCGAGGCTTTCCGGGGAGACCTCGGCATCGTCGGTGACTTCTCCTAATTCGCACGGGGAGAAGAAGCCTCGGCGTGGGGAGAAGAAACCTCGACGACGTCGCCGAGGCTTTGCAGGGAGAAGAAACTTCCCGTGAAGAAACCTCGGCAACATCGCTGAGGCTTCGAGGTTTACTTCTCCCCACGCGGGGAGAAGAAACGATGTGACGTCACCCC